AAGGAGGTTGCAGACGCTGCGTCTGGGATGGTGCAGAAGGTGTGGAGAACATCAAATCCGGAGTATTCCATCCCTGGCGGTGCCCCGATGAGATTCCTCGGCATTGAGATCCAGCGTCTGGCAGATGGCACATACTATCTTCATCAAGGAAGCTATGTGCGTGAAGTCCTGGAGAGGCATGCTGGAGGAGGGACGGCAGCGTTCATCTGAGTCCCGGAGGACAAGGAGGAGGAGGCTCTGTCGTTGACCAAGGTCAGAAAAGCCCAGAAGATCACCGGCGAGCTGCTGTGGCTCTCCGGAAAGACACGTCCGGACATTGCTTGGGCGGTCATGAAGATGTCTCAATGGGCAGTGAAGCGGCCATCATGGACGTTGGAGTTGGGAGAAGCGGTGCTTGCCTATGTGAGGGCCACAATTGACTATGGACTTCATTATCCGGTCCATGTGCCTGTCGACACTGATCCAGATCTGACTAGATTGCGTCCAAGAAAGGAAGGCACACTGGAGGTCTTGGTGGATGCCTCGTTCAGCCCAGGCGACAGTCATAGCATCTCTGGCACGGTGATCCTCCTAGCTGGATGCCCAGTTCAATGGGAAAGCAAGAAACAGAGTCTCATGGCTCTATCAACGGCAGAAGCTGAGCTAACAGCCCTGGTGGAGGGTTTGCAAGCGGGTCGTTCAGTTAGGGCACTGGTGGAGCTTTTGTTGAGTGAAGTGCACCTGGAGCTGTTCAATGATAATCGGGCGGCAGTGGTGCTAGCTTCTGGCTCTGGGGGGGGTTGGAGGACTCGACATCTTCGCATCCGGGCGAGCTGTTTGGCGGAAGCTGTGGCGAAGGGAGAGGTTGCTCTATCACACCGGGCTGGAACCTCTTTGTGGGCAGATGCATTGACCAAATCGCTTCCAGCACAGTCACTGGAGAGGTTTTGCAGGGGTGTTTTCCTTTGCCAGGGACGTGGAGCAGGTGAAGGGGAGCGATTGGTTCTGGCACACGGAGGAGAGGTGAAGCTGTCCCGATGTATGGCAGTGTTGTTGGCGGGGGCATCAATGCTTCCTCAAGGAGTCGCCAGTGAGGTGTGTGAGAAGGAGGTTGAGACAAAGGAGCCGCCAACCAATGTGATCGGAGACCTCGGGTGGTTCTTGTTCCTAGCGGGCTTGGTGTGCTTTCTTCATGTGGTCAAAGATGTTGGCTTCGGCATGATCAAGAGAATGATGTCGGGCAAGGAGGAAGTGAAGGTGAAGCTGTTGAGTGAGGAGGCCACGGTCCCGAAGAAGGGGTCGGAACATGCGGCTGGTTGGGATTTGTCAACTTCGATGATGTGTCAAGTTCCACCGGGTGCTCGACAGTTGATCCCCACCGGAGTGGCCCTGGAAATCCCCAAAGGTTGTTACGGCCGCCTTGCTTCGAGAAGTTCACTGGCATCTCAAGGTCTGGAGGTAGCTGGAGGGGTGATTGACGCCGACTATAGAGGAGAGGTGAAGGTCATTCTCGTCAACCACAGCTCTGTTGCCAAGACTTTCGAAGTTGGGGACAGGATTGCTCAGTTGGTCATTGAGAGAATTTCTGAAGCTCCGATGGTGGTGATCTCAAACCTTTCAGATACTGGACGGGGCGCTGGTGGGTTTGGGAGCTCAGATGTGGCAGTCCGATCAGTGAGGGCTACGCAGGAGGCTCTTCATCGAGGAGAAGACCTACTACCAGAACAGGAACTTCATGATCGGGGTCAACCTCGGCGAGATGGACCTGGAAGGGAGAGTGGAGGCTTTGTGCATGCTCGAGAGAGTGGGAGGGTGGAGACTTCGAGGGCCCTTCCTGATAGCTTGTTCTTTGAGACGTTCACTTCCAGAGGAGGTGAGACGATGCAGACATTCCTCGAGAGGTTGGGGGGGGCAGAGCTTCAATTTGCTTCCTGGTTGCTGGCAGAAAGTGTGCTTCGTGTGGTGGCCAACATGCCGGTGAACGACAGACCTCAAGAGGTGATGGTGCATTTTCCTCAGGCGTTGGTGATTCTCAAGATCCATGGTCATTGCGCTTGGAGGAAGAAGTTGTTCGACAGCGACATGTCAGTTCCTCCCGCGGCTTCTGGTTTGGGTGCTGGTGTGATCACGATTGCCTGGCTAGAAGATGGGAGGAAGATGATCCGTTCAGACCTTCGAAAGGGTAGCCATAGCATGCATTACCTCCAACAGAGGTGGTTCGGCTACAGCATCTTACTCAGGGTGACGGAGGTTAGAAGGGATGTTGCTGGCACAGGCTCATGCTAGAGTCTGAACATAGGATCCGAGGACACATGGCACAATCTCAGAAGGCGCTCTGGGCTCTTGGAAGGGCACGAAGTGTTGGCTGCTGGATTCAATGTGGGTGAATGTGGCATGGTGTGCGAAGTGCTTTTTTTCCTTAGTGGCCTGGGCGTTAGTTTCTGAGAAGAGTGAGTGATGGAATGAAGGGGGCTTGAGCTGAGACATGAAAAGTGTCGCTTTTGAATGTGAAATTTTTCGACGAAGGTGCAAGACATGCACTAGTTATGCTTTTGGGATTCCAATGTTCCTGAAAGCTCCAGGAAGGGGAGAGCGGAATCCCCAATTTCGTTTAGCTTGAGGCGTTTCAAGCAGTTGATGTGAAGTTGTGTACATTTGAACGTTCAACAGCCCTTTTCTTGATCGAAGAAAGAAGTGCGAGCTTGATCGCTCATTCGGTGATAATATATATATATGTATATTTATGTATCCATAAACATCTACACACAAAACACATCAAAACACCATCGAAGAAAACATACACACCCTTTCCAAAGGTTCAAATACCTACACACATCATCACACATCTATACACACCATGTCCATCCACTTCTGGACACACATAGTATTAATTAATACCATACCGTACCCGATCCAAGTGCCCTTACAGGGTCGAATGCCTCCGTACAGGGTCGATCCAGTCGACCCTGGGGACGACCTTCCCCAAGAGCGCAGCGGACGAAGAGGTGAAGCCGTGTTTGTCCGCGCCTTCGCCAGGTTGGGATAGCGTTTGCAGCCTGGTTGGAGCGCTAGGTGGTGCTCACTGGATCCGATGTCTGAGCTGCCTATGTCGACATCGGTGGGGGTGCTTCAAGAAACTTCAGCCATAGGCAATGTCTGTCTTCAATTCCCGAAAAACACCTTGCCAAGCAGCCTTTTTGAAGTACTTTGCAACAACAACATCTGGTTCACCTGACCAAGAACTGAAAGGGTTGGTACCTTATTACCCGGGCCTTCTGTGCTAAATTGATCTAAATTGGCCCCATCGGACAGTCGGACAGTATTTTCTCCGATCGGCTTGACATGCTGAAGAGGATGTTTGGGAGGTTCTACCGCACAGTCGGGACTCAACGGCAGAACCCAGGAATCAACGGCAGACTTTCGGTGCACCACTTCGTCGAAGCTTTGAACCAGCTTGAAGGCCCTGGTCTTGCAACCCTGGGACCCTGGGGCGTTCAGAAACAGCTCAAACCTGGCAATTGTGAAACACACTGATTGGTGGACGCCACAATTTGAGTACCATGCCACAGTGTTGACAGAAGTGGGCGTCTGCCATGAAGGAAGCTCCACCTGATCCAAGACAGCGTCTCACTGAGCATCCAAAAAAATGCGTGTGCCTTTAGTTCGTCTCGCTTTCCAGCTCTTTTGATCTGCATCAATGACCTTCAAAGGAAGCTTCTTTCCTCTCCGACTTGCGCCTGCAAAAAAAATAAAAACTCGAAAGCCTTTCAGTGCGTTTCGCATAGACGACCCAAGCATCGCTGCAAATGAACTCCCTAAGCTGTTGGCAGCTGATGCAGCAGTGGCCTCAGCAAACATTAAGCAGGAAAGGCTAAGGCTAAGACATGTACGGATGACAAGTGCCTTGATGTGCCTGGTTTGGCATAGTGGCATAGTGAAAGCAGCTTTTTAGGAGATTCTATCCTTGCTTCTACACCTTCTTCGGAGACCTATGCTTCGGGATGGTCCCAAGCCCCAATGGGAAGCCGTGGGTGTACAACAAATGAGGGGTCTCAGCGGCGGCTGTACGGGTCTCTGCGCTTCGTGCAATGAGGCTACTCTCCAACTCACGTATATAACATGGAACTGCAAACACCACCTGCTTCCAAGAGGTGGTTAGTCTTCCAGGGGGGCCCATGCTCCACTGTGTTCGTCAGAGTGTATCCCTTCTATTCAAGCAACCAATAGCTTGTCAGGCCAGATTTTTCGGCATGGTGCATCTCTATCGGTTCCATCACAGTGAAGCTCCGAACCGTTTGTTCGTTCATCAAAGCATCCTAGAAACGCTCCTTCCAACAAACACAACTGAGCTCTGCACGAATGGACCGCGGAGTTGGGTTCGCCTCAAACGGTGAATGGTTGAACCCAGACCTCGAAGGACCGCGAACGACACAGGTGTACACGCCCCGCGTTCTGGCACAGCACATGCAGGTTCACGCGGACCTCCTATCCCATGGTAGAATGGTGAGATGCATAACATGGACCTTTCCCAAAGAAGACTTATAGAGTGAAGATGACTGTCTCCACGTCCTCGGCTGATGATAGATATTAGACCTGATTCCCAGAACACATGATGAATTATCTTTTTAGTGGGAAAGGGACATTCATGTCTGCATATGATGTGAAAAAGTGGCTCCCAATGTTTGAACTTCGGGGAACGTGGTGAACTCTCAATGTTCGATGTTTCCAGTTCTGGCTCCACATACCGAATCGACGACTTTTTGGTGTCAAATCGCTCAGAATATCTGAATAAGTTTGCTGAAAAGGATGTTTTTAGGTATTACTAGCTTATAAGTGCAGTGAAACAAAATGAATGGACTGTCCATAGATCATGTCCATAGACCATGCTTTAAAGAAATGCAACAATATTGAACCCCATTACATAGCTCAATTCCAAGATTCACATTCACTCCTTGTGGGTTTCGCTAGGGACTACAGATGCACATAGATGCGCTCTCCACACAGATGTGCACGTATTGTTTGCTCCAGCTCTGCTTCCGCCTGCTGAAGGTGAAACTTTGATTCCTCAAATTTTGGGCGCTTCCATTGGCGTCGCACAACTTATGTCTCACACATGGCCAGGGTGTTTTCGGTAGTGAAAGGCGAAGCAGTGGAGCGCCGTGGGCCTTGTCACTGCCGGCCCCCTATTTCCCCAAACATCCAAATCATTCGTTGAACAAATAACACAAATTTGCTTATTATCTTTTGAACATCTCTGTTTGAACTATTTCTACTATAACAAAATGTTGCTATTGTTCATTTGAACTTCTCTAGCTTGACCGGAAGCAAAAAACAAATCCGGCCCGGTACTGGGTGCGCTCTATTTGCAGGGGCAAAAACGTGTCGCCCACCGGGGTACTCGGGGGTCGGTCAAAACGACGACTGGGGTCGTATCCAAGTCCCACACAGAAGTACAGTCATCCTGGAGTAGATAGAATATGCGAAAATACAAAACCCAAAAGACACTGGTCATATGTTTTTGGTGGAAGTGCCTCTCGAAGCGCGCGACTGTTGTCACTTTTTGCACACTCTTTGTGGCGTGGAAGTGAGAAGCCGCAGGACCATTGGGGAGAGTGTCAAGTCTGCAAAGTATATGTTTGATGGCTTAGCAAATTATATAAATGTTTTGCACACTACATGTTGTTCTTGTTCTTGTTCTTGTTGTTGTTCTTGTTGTTGTTGTTGTTGTTGTTGGTTGCACAGCATTATCAAGGACGTATAGATGTAGGTTGGCTGGGGGGTTAGTGTCGTTCGACTGCAAGTGCACTTAAGATGAAGCTACATGCACGTTGGGGGGGTTGAGGGGGTGGCGGGGTGGGTGTGGGGCGAATGACGTTCCATTGCAAGTGCATCCAAGATGAAGCTACATGCACACACGCGTAGGAAGATGGGTGGGTTTGGGGGGTTAATGACGTTCGATTGCAAGTGCATCTCAAATGAACCTACATGCACATACCGTTGGAAGCTTGAGCGGTTCATAAGACTCACAAAAGAGCCCGCACGCACCGCATAAGTAGAAACAATTGCCAAGAGCCGCTGAATTGAAACTGTGAGCGGGCAAATGAAAAAA